ACTTTATGTGACAATTCTGGCACTGGATGGTGTATTGCTTTGAATGGTAATTGTAGTACTGAGTGTTTTCTGTTCGTGAAAATTTTGAGAAGCCAAGATACAGCAGCGTCCTGTGTGATTTAGCCCTTGTGCCTTCTCTCTTTTGAGCCTGGCTGAATAGGTCTATCTGAACTGAAGTCCTTGATTTATTCACAAAGTAGGGAGCTCTCACATTGAATTATTCTCTCTGGCCTGTAATGCTTGCTGTGGTGTGGCAGTCTGTACTACAAAAAACCCCACAACTGTGGTTATCTTATGTGAAAATGACCATTTGCTTTTGTAATAAATATTCTGCATATGTAAAATTATACTTATGTATATATTATTTTGATTGTTGTACATTAAAATTGAACATTTTTTTCACAAATTAAGTGTGCAGCTACATGTTCTTTACTTCTGAAAGCACAAACATTGGCTTTATTTCAAATCAATACAATCTCACTACACAAACATTTTAAAAGTTTGTGTTGTGTACTATTGTTCTTGTATAATTATTTTGCGATGGATAGGTTAATCTCCTGATTTGGAAAATTTGTGACACCATGTGGCTTTAGATTTTTTCAGCTTCATGCATATGTTTAGTACACTGATCTAGACGGAATTGCTGGAAATTGAATTAAAATGTGAATATATTGAAAAAACAAAACTGATTTATTAAAGGCCAACAATTACATTACATAATGACTCAGCTGAGCAACAGAAATAAATGCGATATATCTGCTAAGAGGTGAATCTGCTCTCATGACTGGAGACTGATAGCTCAGCAGGAGGAGGAAGCACAAGGGAGCTGCTCGCTCGCAGCAGGCAGCAGCAGCTGGTACACAGCAGCCAAGGAGATTGCAGAGGGGTTTCCCACCACAATGTGCAGAACAGAACCATGACCACCTAATCTGCAAAATACCTCCTAAGCATGGCCTCACAGGGAGATCTCAGACCTAAAGAAACCACTACCCTTATTTGGAAAGGCTTTTCTCTGTGAAAATCTTAAGCATATCGCAGAGTTCACAGCCCTGCCCTGCTCTGAAAAAGAGCCAAATCCCTCTTTCATTCTCAAATAAGATGTTTGTCCATGCATATTTCGTCAGAGATTTGGGTACTTCTATATATCCATTTTTATACTTCTATATAAACTAATTGTTTAAAAAAATGCAGCATAGAAAAGAAAAATTAAATTCAAGATTTTACACTATTAATTCACTGACATCAAGGACAACAGCTGCAGATCATTTTCTGCTATCTTTGCATAAAAGCTTCTTACTGCTTTTATTAAACATTGAAAAGAATTTAAAAATGGAAGAGAAATAATGTACTGATGGCTAGAAAAAGAAAGAACTTTGCCATTTACTAATAAATTTTACTTGATGTGTAATTTGTATTCCAGAGGAGGTTTACGTGAGGATACATCTTGTTCTCTGATCCAATTGTAATTGATGTTTACATCAGCAGGAGATATATCCTCAATATGGATGTTCTATTTCCTTCCACAAACCCCTCCTTATCCCTACAGCACGTCAGAATTTCTTTTTACATGCAAATATTAATACTGATTCTACCAGAACTTACTTTCTTCATGATACAACAAATTTGAGGGGCTATTTGGAGGGGCTAAGGGACCTTGTTTTATTCAGTGTAGTAAATATCAACTGGAAGGTGATCTGATCAGTGCTGACACTATTGTAAATAAAAGGGAGAAAACTTAGTGAACCTTACAGCATATTAAAGGAAATTTTTAGAATGCAAAATTAGACCTTGCTACCTGCAGAGGAGTCTCAGGGCTGATGAATGCATATAAGTTTTACAGCTGTGGGTGTAGGTCAGTTGGTTGTGGGCTTTCAAGTCTTTTAGCTGATAAACATTCTTCAACAATCCTATTATAAGTGGAGAAAATTGTATATTGCTGAAACCCATCTTATTTAAAATCTACAGAGCAAAAATAAAAGGTTTAGTCTCAAACACATTTACTTATACATTTGACACTACTTCTTACTTTATCTATTGGATTTTCTTTGTGGAGGATAAAAGCAAAGAATACATTTGGAAACTATTTTTGATTTATCATCTAGAAACCATCCTAGATCAGACATTCTCTTAACAAGACACTGCACAAAAGATACCAGCACTATATCACTTTACTTCCTCCCACTACCAAAAAACAAATAAATTTAAAGGTGTTTTGCTTTGGGAATACAAAATCTTTAATTAAAAATCATCAAGTCAACCAATGAAAACATTTGTTTTGTATGTGTATTCTCTATCTGCAAACTGATTAGTTGTTGCTAGTTAAAAAAATCCCAAACGTAACTAATATTTCAAGTATTTTTTTCTGCCCATAAAATCAAATCAAATGAGTTCTGAGCATTGAACAACCCAAAGATAAACAGATAAATGAAGGTCATATAATATTGAAGGAAATACTTCAACAAGATGTTAAAGAAAATAATTTACTCCCAAACATAAGATTGGAGTTGCTGGCTGGCTAACTACTGGAGATGTTTCTTTAGTAAACACATTTTTATAAGCAGCAGTCTGAAATACAATTTATTTCATTGTATTTGGTCACAACTCATCTTTTCCTCTCATGATTCTATATAGGAAAATTGCCTATTGGAATAGTCACAGAAGTTAAAGGAAAACAAAATTTTCTGTGGTCTGTTATTGTCTAAATAGAACTTGTTTTAGAGCATTGCTACATCTTGCAGACAGAAATATAATGTCCAATGATAGGTAGAAGTCAGTAAAGCCCAGCCTGGAAATAAAAGGTTATTTTTGATGGTGAGGACAATTAACGATCACAACAATTTTTCAAGCAATAGAGTAATCTTTTTCATCACTTGGAATCTCTAAATCAAAATGGGTGTTTCCAAAAGACAATCTGCTATGCCTCTGTGGGTTACTCTGTGCTATGGGAAGAATGAAATCTCTGACCTTTTTTGTGCAAGTCAAATAGCATCACAATGGCACCTTCAAAATATATTACTGTATTCATTTAGCCTTCTAAAACTCAAACTAATGTTAACAGGTCTTTTTCATTTTTTTTTCTGTATTCTGATAAAAAAATGACTGTCATGTTTGTGACATTGATAGAAGCAGCATTCAAACACCATCATTTTCTTTGTTACAATCACTCAAATGCCAAACAGGGAGTGGCTTCTGCCTTCTGCCTTGTTGTTGTATCAGCCACAGGTAATTTGTAAATAACAGTGACTGGGTACGCCAAAGTTTGTCCTTGTAACAAAAAGGAGACAGCTGAAGAAAGGAGGCGGGGAAATTCTGCGCAGTCAATGCCAGTTTGGGGATCTGTCGGTATCAAATTATCATTTCCATTTTGTCTTGTGATTGTAACTTTCATTGTGAATTAGAGCATTCATTCTGCAGCAGCATCTTGACACACAGTGAGGGAATCAAGATAGTGTGTGACAGAGCAATCAGCAGCTGAGCTGAGCCAGGGCTGAGGGGCTGCTCTCTGCTAGAGCAATGACATCCATGTTGTGAGAATCATTGACTGTGAATAGCAGAGGCAATGCAGGGACAAGGATGGCAAAGGTCTGGAGCTGAAACCTGGACCTTTCCTGCTCACTTTCAACTTCTAGCAGGCAACCCAGGTGGGAAAAGAGAAAAAAACAATCTTCCCTGAGCAAGGCAGGCCATCTAGCAGCAGAGGTAATAAGACCAGGCAAAGCACCACAGGGGAGCTGCTTGATCCAAGTCAGATGTAGATCAATCTTAGGAATCTCAGGTGTAGCAATATCTACTCTAGACAGCAAATCAAGAAAATAATGTTCTTCATGCAATCAATGTTACTGCAAATACCCCCATTAAAGAAGATAAGAAGAGATGTTGAAGAAAGGTTTCATTTTCTGTCAATCCTGTCATTAATTTTGCTGCTTCAGTGATGGCAGTGAGGGGGTTTCTGTCCCCTTTAATTTTGGCAAGAAGCAACTCATTTAGCTATATTCATCAGAACACATTACATCTCACGGCTGGAGGGAAGGAAAGTTTCAAAACTAAAAAATGGCCAACTGCTGCGTAACGTTATGTCTTTTGTCTGTTGGTGTAAATGGAAAGCCCCACCCTAATTATGAGTGGAGCTTCAAATAGTCAAATAAACATGTACTTAAAGTAGGTTACATGCATGTTTCTGTTCTGTTCCTTTTTTCTTAAAAACCCACCATCACATATGTAAGATAGTTATTCTAAAGAAACACTTAGAATATTGTATCATCAGGGCTATTTTTATTTTGAGCAAAATCACCTATGCCATTTTTTATTACCTTTGTCAATTACATTTCTTAATTGGAAATTTAGCATGTGATATACAGGAAAATGTTTGAAATAATAATTTTTTCATACTGAATACATAAACACATGGTGACTGTTGAAAACCATATATAAATGAAATGTAAAATAACTTATTAGTTAGAAAACATACCCCATAAACTCCTTTGCTGCCAAAGTTGTTGTCTATAGTTTTGTTTGAAATTAATTTTCTGTGATTTGCAATTGTATAGTATTAAGAATTACAGATGAGTTTCTCTAGTTTCAGCTAAAGATATTGCAATAACGACATCAAAGTCCATGAAAATCTCTTAATCTAAGGTGTATTAGAAAAAAATAATTATTTTTTTCTAATGGTAGATGGTATGAAAAATGAAGACCTAATCACCTGCGTGACCTGGGTTGTGAAGCACAGCAGTCTTCCTTGTTTTATTGAGTCAGACTACATTTCAATGGTTACAAAAGCACAACTGTCCAACTTCTTTTTCCTTCTGCACTAAATTTCTTCTGATGCATCACCACTGAAACCAACATTTTGCCCGTGATGTACAGGAAATCATTGCCACTGAAAACTGTGTTTTACATTTTAAAACCTGATTTACAAACTTTTGTGTCTTTCTCAAATTTCTTAGCAATATTTCCACTGAGATCTGAATATAAACTAGTGGCTTTTTTTCTGGCTACAGAACAAGAAGCAAAGGAAACGCTCCTCCTTGGATCAACAGTTCCTGGTGAGGAATCCACCCATTCAACTGGCTTGATCAATGAGCCATTACAGAGGTAACTATTTCCTTTTTAAAAAATGACAAATTCTTCAACTCTGCAAAACCACTGTACAATGATACCCAAGAATACAAATATGCAGAAGTACATGAGAAGAAAATAAAGGCCATTTTAGTATCACAGTGTTCTAGCCCAGTCAGTGGCTGCTTGCATTTTTTCTACTTTTAAAAGTAAGAAGATGAAAGTAGAAAGTTGATGGTGTTTGCTGGTTTGTTCAGAAAATTAATTATCTTTCATATATCATAGCACAAAAGCCCTTTGGTATAAATGAATGGACTAAATTATTTCTGAACAATTCCTGAATTATTGCACATCTGGTAAGATCAGTATAAGGAAGGGGCAAAATTTGCATTTTTGGGTATCAGGTCTGCAGTTCAACCTCACACATTATAAAACACTTTTTCCTGTCGTTATTCCTTCTCTTTAACATATTCCTGTGTAAGCATGGTAGTGGCATCAAACTCTGATGTATCTGATGTGGAAACAAAACCTCTCACTGTTAATACTGCTTTATTGATCAGAGACTGTATCCTGACTGGGTCAGGCTTTTTCTGTGTGCAGTAGCTTTGTACCAAAGACATCATGCATCATCACTCATGAACTTGTGGGCTGCTCTCCCTGGAGCCCAACGTGTTTGCCTGCTGAGAACAGGATCACCTCCCTCTCAGATTTCTGAAAGAAATTAAAAGGGTGACATTTTTAGAAGAAAACTAACAAGTGTGATGCTATTTAATTATGAAATGAGGAAGGGAAGACTTTATGACAGAAAGCTAAAAAATTAGATATAAAATGTAAGAAGGTTGAAATACAGTGTGGATTTACCAAACCTATAACCTAACAAGATTAAAAGGTAACATACCTCATAGATAAAAGAAATGCACTAGACTTCATTAAAACCTGTATAGTTCAGTTAATTCTACATTGCATGATATTTTCAAACAAAGATTATCAAAGAAATGGAAAGCCGTGTCTTTTGAAAGCAGTCTTTCAAGCACGGCTTTTGCAGTTGAAAGAAAATATGGCTACTGCCTACAAAAAAATCATGGCATACATGACAGTGATAGAAAAGGGCCATTTAAAGATACAATACATTTAAAGAAAATTCACTGATGCCAAAATCTATTTAAAGAAGAAAAGAAACTTTCCAGCTGTCAGAGCTTCTAGGTCTATCCTCCAATGGAAGAACATGGAAGAGTTGGCTTCTGGGATGGGCTTTGCATTTCTGAAAGAGCTAAATAATACAGTCCCTGGAGCAGCAAAGGGCTCCACTCAGTGGCTTAGGGTCTTTCTGGTTTTACTCTCTGAAGAAAGAGAAAGAGAAAGAGAAAGAGAAAGAGAAAGAGAAAGAGAAAGAGAAAGAGAAAGAGAAAGAGATGAGCCTCACTTTTACATGTCTCTTACTTATTTTCATTGTAATTGTATATATTCCTTCACATGCACATACTTAAGAAACTTTTCTAGATACTTCTAATTAGAATTCAAGACTTTTCCTTCAATCAATTATCTCCCCCCAAAAAACACCCAGTGTTGGTATCTGAAGGAATTCTTTCTTTTAACTGAAATCTCTCCTGTAGCACCTACACTTACATGAGTAGGAAATAGAGCTTCAGTTAGTGGAAGTTGTGCAGAATGCAAGATTTACCACCATGATCTTTTTCAGTCATTGGGGCTGTCGTGGCTTTATTGTTAGTGGTGAAAAATCTCATTTCATGGGCTTTTTTTAGATTCCAGGAATGAACTAATGCTAATTAATGCTGGTGAGCTAATCCACCAGCCAGCAGATTTTGCAGGACAGTAAATATGACCTTGTTGTGTTTCTTGGCCTTTAGCTTTAGCTGACTTCGTACTCTATAAAGGCACAAAGCTTTGACCAAAGTTAACCAGCAGGTCATTGTTGAAGGTGCCATTGTTTTGTGCTGGAGCATATGTACAATGCCTGCCTTCTGGAGAGTATGCTGCCTGCACTGTTGAATTACACCACTGAGGGAGATGTGAAGGCTGCAGTACCAGCAGCTGATAGCATGTGAGGGCAGTAAAAGATATTCCTCACCATGACATCCCTTTCCTGGTATAATTGGCAGTGAATGGGTGCAATAATTAAAGAATCTTAACAATTTCAGAGGGAAGGATTTTTTAATGGAATTTTATTTTTTTGTGGTTTTGTAACTGTGACATTATGATATGTGCAAGTTATGCTGTGGGTCTCACATGACACATATTTTTACCAGATGGATTATACTTCTGCCTTAAGCCTTCTCCCCTATCCCAAATAAGACCCCATTACAATAGGGACTGGATAAACTTGTAGCTTGATGAGCCTCAAACACAAGGAAGTTCTTAGTTCTTAGTTTTTCCATAGACCTTTACAAATTTCATTGCTCTTACTACTTTCAAGAATTTGCACCAGAAGTTTTTGTGCTCTGGGGACATCTTCCTTCCATTTGCATACTATTCTGTAACACTTTGAACAGGTTGTTTTTTAAGGCAGGTGCTGTAATTTTCAATGTTTTCTTTTTCTCATTACATCTATTCAAATATTCTTCTCTCTAGTTACCAGTGCCCTCATCAATCTAAGTTTCCTACTCAGCTTCTCTGTTACTTTTTAGCCAAAACAGGAGGGAAAAATAATTTTTTGTCTATGATGACAGTAACAGACAAGTAGCATTTCAACCATAATGAATTCCATAATAATATATCCCTATCCAAATAGCCCTAAATATTGCTTAAGGTTTGATTTAAACAGATTCAAGCCTATTTCTCTTTCTTTAGCAAAGTCTCTCTAAAAACCAGCATTCCATGTCCTGGTAATCTTTTGTTTGAAAGAATGTATATCTTTATGCAAATATCTTTCAAAAACTGCTTGACCAAAGTGGCTTTAGAATTCACTTCACACATTCTGAAGCTATAACATTCTGACATATTAGTTCACTTGGGTTCTGAATGGTTCACAACTCTTCATTTTCCAGCAACCCGATGTTTATGGCATGTGCTCAATTGTTTTAAGGCATGACTAAAAAGTGTAAAACTGGTCTATGAAATCGCTAGTTCAGAAAAAATTCTCTGCTCTGTTGAATTCAATAAGCAGTGTGCCTATTTACTTTCTCTGTCTATTACTTTTTTTAAAAAAAACCTTTTGAGTGTTTCAGAATTGTAGGGTTGGAAGAGGTACTTAGAAATACCAATTTTCTGTATGCAAACTTCATGGTGCAGAAAACGTTTGTTTTTTTTTTTTTAATGTGGAAATGTGGGTCTCTACAATAATTACAGCTTTGCAAAGCAATCCACAGAATTTTACCTACCTCCTCAAAACCATTGAGAGGAAAGATGAGGAAAAATAGCCTATCTCTATTCATCATCCTGCAGTAGGGAAAATAAAAACTGGACAGAGCATTGTAATTTGGAGTTTGAGGACAAAAAGACATAAAATTCTGCTTCCCTAGAATAGTACATACAAAAATCCCTTTTCTTCAAAGGCTTTTTCAATCTGTACATCATGAAGCCACATTGAAATAAATCTTTGAGACAAATTTCTCCTTTGGACACTAACAGCTTTTTCAAATAATCTGTTTTCCTTAATGATGAGATAGGTACAAACTTTAAGAAAACCAGCAGATGTTTAATGGCCATTTTAAACTAATTGTATTGACTGTATCCTGTTGAACTGAAGAATTGTATCCATTAGAATTCTCTTGTATAACATTCTGCCTTTGCTGACATTCTCTGTAGTAGCAGGGGAATATCCCTGATCATTTTCCCTGATCACTTAATAAAGTGAGATATGTCAGATTCCCTTTTTGACTTCGGCTCTCCCCAGTCATGAGGAGGACATAATAATTAAAAAGAAAAAACCAAAGAATTGTATGAGTTGTAGGCTTTTTATAAAAAACTGCTTTTCAGTTGTATTAAAAGTGTCAACATTGACTAAATGGAGAAATAGATTTTCTCTTCATGATAGGTTTAAAAAAATTGAATGCAAATGCATTTTCAGTTTCAGTACAGGTAGAAAGTATGATGCCTAGTTTTATACAGCTCTGCTAAGCAGGTACATATGCATCACTTGAAATGGTGTCTAATATTCCACAGATGGCAATTACTTGCAGAGGAATGGCTAGGGACTTAATTAAAAAGGCTGAGAGTTAGCAAAGTAAAATGCTGCAGAAGCACATGAAAAATCTATACATTATGCAAGACATAGAATATTTAGGAAGTTAAGAGTGTCTTTTTACATTTTCCCTTCATTTCTGCACAAAAGGTTTACTGTAAAATAAAGGTTAGTTATGCCATGTTTAAAATTATATTTTAGCAAACTGAACCTACTACACAACAAAGCAAAATATATTTGACTACACAATATTGATTTTACATGAAAGCACATCAGTTAGTAAAATGCAAAAACCAATAAAACATCACCCCTGGCTGGAATAGATATCTCCAGATACAATTTATTTTTACATTTAAACCAATTATTGGGCTTGTTGCATTTAAAAATGTGCACCATATATCGTTTCAAGGACTTTTTTATTCAATCAAATCAATTGCATTGATCTCCATATTCCATATTAAACACCAATCTTAAATTAAAGCTGACACATTTTGAAGGCAAAAGTACAAGTTTCTAAGCAGAAATAAATTCTACAAGGCTTTCTTTGTGTGTTTTTTATGCCCAAACATGAATACAGATATTGATTATGTTTTAACACACAATTTACGAGCTATTTCAATGCTTATTTCTTCCTAAAATATGTTCAATAATACAAACTTACAGAAACAGAATGCTCCCTGAAGTTCTTTCTGTTGCATTGGAATATGATGATGATTTTCATAAATAATTAAATGACAGAATGGAAATAAAACCTTAGGCAAAATTGTTCAAGAAGAATCTATGACTAACAGCACATACAACTAACCTACCTACCACTTGTTGAAATGATCACTTGTTGAAATGCTTTAGGGACAAGATTTGTTTCTTTTGAGCATGTTGTTAGAACAGTTCATGT